GATGCAAAGCAGATGTAAAGCCACACGGCCTCACCTGATGCAAACAGTATGCAAACATGAGGGCATGTGTGGTTCTTTGTTTGGATAAATGAATATACATTTGAAATAAAATGTACACATGCGAGTTTACTACACTGAATTCTCTGCTGAGTCTGACAACCATTCTTTGACATTGCTGTATTATTTTCTAGATAAAGATGGAGATATGCTAGGTGGTGTTTAGGTGTAACAACCAGTTCTGTAGAACTTTTTCTCTATTGTCTTGGACTCGTTGGTATTTGCATTCAGACTTGCATCAGACTCGGCCATTGGTCTCGCCAAATATTGATGGTGTGCGAGGGATGTCTGATCTGAGCAGCAGCGAGATAAATAAATAAAAGATAAATGCCATACAGTTTCAGTTGTGGCTCTGCTGATGAATCTGCAGACTGTAGCATGAATGAACTGAAGACAGAGAGAGATAATTATATTTAAAAAGACAGCAGCAAGATGGCGATGCAGCTGTGTCGCTGTGCTACTGGCTAGATGAGACCAGCTGATGAGAACAGCTGATATCATGGTTGACAGCCCCAGATAATGACAGCAATGAAATTATGTGTGAGAGCAGTGAATGCAGGATAGAAAGAGACAATAGCTACAGGCCTATATGCAAAAGTTATGAACTTTCACACATCCTGTTTGTACTTTATGATCTTGTAAAAGGTCCCATCACACATCTTTCACATGATCTCTAATCTAGAGCCATCAATTTAAGCCATCGGGTCTGGTTCCAGGCCTTATCTGATATGTAACAACCACTCCTGCTTTAATAAAAAGATTGCATTAAATTCTGAAAGAGGAGCCTGATGTGTTCTTTCTCATGGCCTTTTTTTCAAGTGTAATTAAAAAACTGTTTCACATGTTTATAATGCTCTATTCTGAAGCCAAACGTCACTATAACCATAACTGTGGCATATGTAATGCAAGCTAGACCTGCAGCATTCCTCATGCCAGGCTGGTGTCAGCGGCATATACTTCAGGTGTGTCGTAAGTGGCAAATGTTAACCATTGGACTCAAACACCACACCCATGAGGCAAACACACTTCCCTGTGTGAGAGCTACTATTATGTAGTCCCATGATCACATATGCACACACACATTCACACAAAGTTCGTGCCACAACTTGTGAGCCTAACAGTAGGTTGTGCCATAAATGCTGTTTTTTATTTAAATTATATGTATTTTAAAATCAGGTAGATAAAGCAGATAGACAGAGAAACCAGTGCTGGGTTCAGGAAAGGGAGGGCCCGGGCTGATGAATATCTGCGTTGACGTTAGATTTTCCTGTTTCACAGCTAGTCGTGTTACATATTCATACTCATTCATGCAGCGGTTGAGTCACCTGCTCTGCCGTCACTGAGGACAGAAGTGTTACTGACTAACTTCACCTAAGAGAAGTAGCTGTAAGTATGAGCAATATGCACTAAGCAATATTATCTATTATGTTGTGAAGAAGACAGTGAAGTTCATTTAAATAGCTAAGGCTGTTACTATTGGCTGCCTGATACCTGAAAGTCTGCACTGCAAATATATGTTCACATAGACTGATGGCAATATACTACAGACTAAATATGCTGTTTTTGAAATGTTACTTAATATTTAATGTGATTTAAAGGGTTTTAATGTTGTTTGTCATCTGCTTGTCTTAAATTTCTGGGGAACAACAGCAGGTTTGAACTAGTAGTTCAGTTGATATTCTGTATGAACCTTTTTTTCTGGTTATTGTGGGTTTGAATGATGGGATGAGCTGCAGGTAGTGTCTTCCTACAGTCAGGGCAGACATCAGGTCTGTGTAAGGCCTGTCTTTTTATTTGTCTGTACGTAAGGGTATAATCAGGTCTAATGCTGTCACTTTCAGAAAGAGCATGCCAGCTGTTTCCCTCTGCTTTCATAATTTATGCTAAGCTAACCTGCTGCTGGCTGTAGCTTCACATCAAGAAAAGAAACTAAGCCTATTTCCCTAAAAGTCAATCTCTTAAGTCAGCAAGTATCCTGTTTGTTTATTTACCCTTGAGCTTAAATAAACTAGTTCCTCTATTAGGATTAGTTTTTACTAAATATGTACATTAGCTTGGGAACAGAAGGATGTTGGCCTAGTATGAAAAATGGTAGAAATATCTGACCTGTCATACAAAATGCTGTAAATACATATCACTAACATCTTAACTTACTATGATATTTTATTTGTGCAACCTGATTTAGTAAATTACTAGCTAACAGCAACTATAGAAGAACTTTAAATACACAATTATTGAAGTAATGGATTGACACAATCCATTACAACCAAATTCAGATATGTATTGTCTCACAAGTGGATTTCTGTCTGTAGCAAGCAGTAATAATAATATTATTTCTCACATTTTCCATTGGTGTTAGGCAGGGGCACTGGTGTTACTATGTGGATTCTGTTTGAGGTGTGGGTGTGTCTGGTGTGTGTATTGTCCAAGAAAACAATGACTAATACACCAAGCACACCAAACAGTGCAGGGTGTATGAGTCCTGAATTTCAAGATGTGCATGGTTCCACATATTTACACAGTTACGTCATTACATAATAAATACACACGTAAGAAGGTAGTCAGCTATGTTTTTACTTTGTTTACTTTTCATTAAATGTATTTTCACAGGTAAATATCATATACTTTTTAAACTTTTAATACATTATGGAAGTTCAGTACTTTTTCTACCCGTGACTGTACCTTTGTGTTTGTTCTGTGGCTATGAATATAAAAATTGCATGCACTTCCTCTATCAAAGATCTACCCGAGCAACTGATCACCTAACTTCCTTTTTTTTTTTTTTTTGTTCTGCAGACAATGGCCTCCTCGTGTAACATGTTACCAGAAAAACAGTTCCAGTGCACCATCTGTCAGCAAGTGTTCACCGACCCGGTCACCACTCCCTGTGGACACAACTTCTGCCAGGCCTGCATCCAGACTGTGTGGGACAGCGGTGACGTCTGCCACTGCCCCACCTGTAACAAATCATTCACCTCTCGGCCTGAATTAAGCATCAACACAGCCTTCAAAGAGCTGGCAGATACATTTAGGAAGATTATAGTCTGTTCGTCGGCTTCACCGCTGTCCGCAGCCAAACCAGGTGAGGTGGTGTGTGATGTCTGCGCTGCAACGTCCCTGCAGGTGAAGGCCCTGAAGTCCTGCCTGGTGTGTCTGACCTCGTACTGCGAAGCCCACCTGGAGCCTCACCAGAGAGTCGCCACCTTGAAGATCCACAAGCTGATCGAGCCAGTGAAGAACCTGCAGGACAGGATGTGTAAGAAGCATGAGAGGCTGCTGGAGATGTTCTGCAGGGACGAACAGAAGTGTGTGTGCCAGTTCTGCACCGAGACGGTGCACAAAGATCACCAGGCTGTTACAATACAGGACGAGAGTGGGAAGAGAAAGGTACAGTATATTCTGTATTATAAGGGTTTAGGTAGTCTACTGTTATTGGTGGGCAATATATGATTAGATAATTACAAGATTTCATGAAATCCCGTATATTTTCTGATACACATTCCACATTTACAGTCAGAGTGTAATTTGCTAGTACAGCAGTGACTTTTATGTTGTTGTTTTTATGTATGAATTTATGTTCTGTTCTTTAGATCCAAATCAAGAAGACAGAGGAAGACTTTCAGCAGATGATCCAGGATCGGCTGAAGAAAGTGGACGAGATCAAAAACTGTCTGAAGCTCAGCACGGTGAGCCCAGATGGAAATGTTAATTGCTGACACAAAGCATTTGGATCGTTTGTCTTCTTGTTGGAATTCAGCTGGTGATTTGGAGTTATTATTGAGCATTTTATTATCAATGCCTGCTGTCTTACTTGTTTTGTAAATGAGACCAATGATCAATTATTTCTTTACTGGCCAACTTTAGTGATGCAACATGATGTGTCAGTCATGCAATACAGCTACAAAAAAAATTGGTATGCTTTTTTCTTAATTAGAAAACATTGTCTTGCATTAGGCTGTAGTCTGTGGGTGTATTTTTTTCATTTATTTACACATTCATGTTCTGCCAGATGAGCGCAGAGAAGGAGATGAAGGAGAGCGACCATCTCTTCACGTCTTTGATTCGCTCCATCAAGGAGAGACAAACCGAAGTCAACACGGAGATCAAGGAGAAGCAGAAAGCAGCAGAGAGGAGGTCAGAGGAGCTCATCAGTGAGCTGCAGCAGGAAATCACTGAACTGCAGAGAAGAAACAATGAGCTGGAGGGGCTGAGGAACACTGAGGACCACCTGCACGTCTTACAGGTTACAATCAACCTAAAGGTTTTAGAATTAGATTAAAGAAATTGGTCAAAAATATATCTTTCGGTAATACTTTTTTCACCATAATAAAGAGAAAATGTCTGGAGAAAGCTGAAACTGAGTATTTATATGTCTTGTTTTCTGTTAAAGATGGCAGAAGGTATACCCTTTTGGCCTTTTTAGTACAAACATGCTAAAAACTCTACAGGTCAAAGTAGGTTGACGCCCCTGGCAGCTCTCTTTCTAAAACAATGCGCTACTCAAATTCACACACTAATACTCAAATTTCTTCCCTTATGTTTCCCTCTGGTAGAGGTCGCCCTCTCTTACGTCACCTCCCCCCACCAGGGTGTGGATGGAGATCGGCGTCCACCCTGAACTCTGTGTTGGGACAGTGAGGAGAGCGCTGTCCAAAGTGGAAGACACTCTGAGGAAAGAACTGAACAATCTGAAGAAGGAAGGTAAAGTGAACCGAAAAAGTCCTGTCTGGTTTCACCAAATATTACAGTCAAACGTTTCATGTGTGTAACTAAAATGTCTCATCAGAAACTAATAGAACATTTTTATCTTCCTGGCAGAGATGAAAAGGATGCAGAAATATGCAGGTAAGACCTCAGTCAACAACTTAAGGTAGTTTTGATGTTCAGGTCAAATGCGTTTTGGTATGTTGTATTGCTATATGGTGAAAAGTTTTGATTTATATGACAGCAATTCACACAACTGCTCCCGCCACCTACTGAGCTGACCCTGAGATAATGGAAATAATTTGGCTGAAAGCAACGCATAGACTGCAACAATTTTCACCAGGATTTCCCTGTATTTCTACTACATTAAACCTAATTTCTAAAGTCACAATAATAATATATTTCAGTAATTTGAAATTTGACTAAAGGGTAAAAGTACATATGTCTAGCTTTATGACAAATAGAAGTATAGTATTAGTAGTAGTGGCAATTGTAAAGTAGTACATATTCCTGATGTTTTTCCCAAACTAAAAGTTTATCCCTGAGTGATTTGGACGTGGATGTGGTGGTATTTGTAGCAGATTTTGTATAATTTAACTACTCTCATCTCATCTCCCTAGTTGACGTGGTTTTAGACCCGGACACCGCCCATCCAAACATAGTCCTGTCAGCTGATGGGAAGCAGGCAGGCCGTGGCGAGCTGCTGCCCATCGTGCCTGACAACCCCCAACGCTTTGACCCTGTCATCTGCGTTGTGGGCAAGCAAGGCTTCCAGTCCGGGAGGTTCTACTTCCAGGTCAGTGTCTCGCTTGATGATGGATTAATTTATTATAAATCACAGTGGAGCTGAGATTTCTATGTCCAATTGTTCTATCATCAATCAGGTTGCAGTGGGAACAAAGACCTTCTGGGATCTGGGCGTAGTCAAAGAGTCCGTCAACAGGAAGGGGATGATCACTTCCAAGCCAGAGAATGGCTATTGGACAGTGCGGCTGAGGAGCGGGGACGAGTATCGCGCTTTGGACTCCCCTTCGGTCCTTCTTTCCCTCAAGGAGAAGCCGCAGATTGTCGGGGTATTTACGGATTACGAGGAGGGGACTGTGTCGTTCTTTAACATGGAGGCCAGGTCTCACATCTACACCTTCACCGGGTGTTTGTTCTCGGAGAGGATCTTCCCCTTCTTCAGCCCGGGTGTTTGCGATGAAGGGAAGAATACAGCACCACTGGTTATCACAGCTGTTAACCATGAGACATAGACTTACTTTGACTTTGTTTTGAAGCTGCAAGAAAAATTCTGACTTGCAGAACTGATCAAGTATTTAATGTTAAAGTATCTGGGTGTCTACTGTACAAACACCAGCAGTTCTCAAAGATCTGAATGTCGCACACAAAACAAGTTATCACAGCCTTGAAGCTTTTCCGCCTAATGAAATATAAGGTATAAGGTATAGCTCTTGTAAAATGTTTTTTTTTGCACTGCAGTGTAAAAAGATGCATTCAGAGCCTGGACTTTGCGTCAGATAATCAGTTTCTCAGTTTCAGAGTTCTCTAACCAGCCGTGATATTAAAGCTGATGTTCACACACTCAGCCAACCACAATCAGAACTGCTGCTTTAATAATCCAAACAGTAGTATTATTAAGTATTTGACTATAGACCTAATAGTAATAGACAGAGGAAAATCTGAATCATTCATGTTATTAATACACATTATATTGATCTCAAACAAAACGGCATGGCTGGAAAATATATTTTTGGGTTCAAGTTCACCATAATAATACCAAATGC